GGGCAAGAAGTAAGCATGGTTTTCAGGTTTCTGATGTATTCGCTCTGGGTGCAGGCCAGGAAGTTCATGCTGATTCATGAACTTCAGCTGACCTGTGGTAGTACCCATTTCCCAGTATCCTCACCAACACTGAGCACTTTAAGGAAAAAACTGCTATTCTGAAAGCAAAATGGTATTTTGTTCGTAATTTCTTTTTTATTACTAGTGAGGTTGAACAGTTTCTCTTTTCTTTGTTTTTTTTTTTTTGAGATGGAGTCTTACTCTATCACCCAGGCTGGAGGTAGTATTGCGATCTCGGCTTACTGCAACCTCCGCCTCCCGGGTTCAAGCGATTCTTCTGTCTCAGCCTCCCAAGCAGCTGGGACTACAGGCACCTGCCACCACGCCTGGCTAATTTTTGTATTTTTAGTGGAGGTGGGGTTTCATCATATTGTCCAGGCTGGTCTTGAACTCCTGACCTTGTGATCCACCCGCCTCAGCCTCCCAAAGTGCTTGGATTACAGGCATGAGCCACCGTGCCTGGCTCTTCCTTTTTTTTTGAGACAGGGTTTTACTCCTGTTGCTCAGGCGGGAGTGCAGTGGCGCCATCTTGCCTCACTGCAACCTCCATCTCCCAGGCTCAAGCGATTCTCCTGCCTCACTCAGCCTCCCAAGTAGCTGGGATTACAGGTGTGAGCCACCGTGCCTGGCCTGAACACTTTTTCATATGTATCCATTTGTATTATTTTGTGAACTACTTGTGTATGCCTCTCTTCTTTATTTTTTTATTGGGATGTTTTTCTTGTTCTTAATAGTTTGTAGAAGCTCATTATTGTCCTTGAAGGCAAGACCATGGTGTCTTGATTTCCATCATATTCTTAATGCATCATAGCAGTCAATACATATTCATTGAATAAAAAAATAGGAAGGATATTAGTCTTTATCGTATATGCAACAAATTTTCTTTCCAACTTATTGGTGCAATTTAATATTTTAAAACATTTTTATTGTAAAATATATATAACATTTATCATTTTAAATATTTTTAAGTGTACAATTCAGTGACATTAAATATATTAACATTGTCGGGAAATCATCACTGATACCCATTTCCAAAACTGTTTCATCTTTCCAAACTGAAACTCAGTACACATTAAACAATAACTCCATTCCCTCAGTGCAATTTATTTTATGGTGTATTTGACATGAGGAGGTTTTAAATTTTTATGTAGTAAAATACATTATGATTTTTCCTTTAAGTTGTCTTTGATGTTATGCTTAGAAAGGTCTCCTTGCCTGAGAAGCATGGATATGTTCACATATATTTTCTCCTAGGTTTTCTATTGCCCCCCTCCCCTCCCCTCCCCTCCCCTCTCTTCTCTCTTCTCTCTTCTCTCTTTTCTCTTCTCTTCTTTTCTTTTCTTTTTCTTTTCTTCTCTTTTCTTTTCTTTCTCAGGGTTTCACTATGTTGCCCAGGCTGGTCTTGAATTCTTGAACTCTAGCAATCCTCCTGTCTCAGCCTCCTAAATATTTGGGATTACAGGCCCATGCACCCTGTTCTTTTTATATTCAACTCTTTCTTTATCTAGAATTCTTTTTTTTTTTTTTTTTTTTTTTAAATTTTGAGACAGAGTCTCGCTCTGTCGCCCAGGCTGGAGTGCAGTGGCGCGATCTCGGCTCACTGCAAGCTCCGCCTCCCGGGTTCACGCCATTCTCCTGCCTCAGCCTCCCGAGTAGCTGGGACTACAGGCGCCCACAACCGCGCCCGGCTAATTTTTTTTTTGTATTTTTAGTAGAGACGGGGTTTCACCGTGGTCTCGATCTCCTGACCTTGTGATCCGCCCGCCTCGGCCTCCCAAAGTGCTGGGATTACAGGCGTGAGCCACCGCGCCCGGCCTAGAATTCTTTTATAAAAAGCACTAGTTAATGGCCATTGTGGGGGACAATTCTCCACGTCTCTCGTGTTGCTGCATGTTTTCTGAGCAAAGGCACTGCTTTGTCCTCAACTACCTTTTCAGAGTGTGTGTAGTGAACAGCCTTGGAAAACAGAGATGGTGTCCTCTTAGGAGCAGAGAGCAGGTTGGTGGCTTATGCATGTAATAAAGATCAGGGGCAAAGATCAAGCAGGCATACGGCCCATTACAAAAGAGCACAGCTCCTTCAGCTTGGGATTCCTCTCCGGTAATCCACCCCGCTGCCTGCAGGCAGCATCTGGCCCTCTTCACATCACCCTGTGGGAAATGGGGGCTCAGGGAGCCGGTGCGAAAGTTGACCTCCAGGCTGCTGCTACTGTCATTTTGTCTCTGACCCAAAAGTCTTGTACCTTCTGCCAATACCTGTGAAACCACAGCAGGCTAACTTGGTAGTTTGCAAGTAGGTAAAAAGCCCGAGGCCCTCACAGTTTTTGACAAGGACTGAACTGTATTTTTTTTCAAAGTTTAATTTTTTCAATGCTGTGTATTGAATTATTTCTGGACTGATTTGAAATGTCACTTGTATCATAAGAAATATGTAGATATACTTGTGTTTATTTCTTATCTTTGCTGTTCTATTTCTCTGTCTATTCTGGTGCCAGCAAAATGCTCTTATTTTTGTAATTTTATAGTATATTTTAACACTGAGCAGTAAATATCCTCTTTCTTTCTTGATTTTCCCCCCTCCTTTTTTCTTTTTTCCTTCCCTGTCGCCTTTAGTATTTTCTGGGCTCTTTGTACCAAATAAATGGTATCTGGCACACAGCAAATATTCAATAAATGTGTTTTGAACAATATTAGTGAAATTAAGAGTTATTTTGTCAAGTACTCAATCCCTTTTGAATTTTTGTAATTATAGCAATGAAACTGGAAACAATTTAACTTTCACATGTGCTACTAATTTATTAAACCGTTCCTTTAAATGTTAAGAATTTAACTGTTACTGATTATACAATTTAAGAAAAGAATTTAACCTATTACAAAATGCCTAATATAAATATAAAGGGTTCATGCACTATTTTCTAAATTTCAGTTTCCTGGATATTTAGAGAGCTCTGAAATTAATGATATTTTTCAACAATCCTAAGGAAGTTTATAGGCCAATATTCATTTACCATCTTTTAATGGGCTTTATTATTTCGTCATTCCTGCTTTCCATTAGAGTAAAATATTGCTTTTGTCTTTGCTAGGAATGTTACAGTTTACCATCTCAGAAGAGACTTTTAGTAAAAAAAAAATTGATGTAAAAGAAAGCATTTATTTATGCAAGGCATTAGGGACAGGATAAATATTTGAACTTAGTCTGTTATCAGATTGCTACTTAGGTGTCACTGAGATTATTCTTAGGGGTTGCTGCTTTTGTTTTCTTTTCTTTCTTTTTTTTTTTTTTTTTGAGACAGAGTTTTGCTCTCATTGCCCAGGTTGGAGTGCAATGGCGCGGTCTTGGCTCACTGCAACCTTTGCCTTCTCCAGGGTTCAAGTGATTCTCCTGCCTCAGCCTCCCAAGTAGCTGGGATTACAGGCATTTGCCACCACACCAGGCTAATTTTGTATTTTCAGTAGGTATGGGGTTTCTCCATGTTGGCCAGGCTGGTCTTGAACTCCCGACCTCAGGGGATGTACCTGTCTTTGACTCCCAAAGTGCTGGGATTACAGGCGTGAGCCACCGTGCCTGGCCAGGGGTTGCTGCTTTTCTATGGGCTACTCTACTAGTCACTGCTTGGGCCATGACCACTGCTGGTGACCTGCCTGGCACTGTGAAGGTGACATGGCTAGTCACAGCAGACAGTGTCCCATGCATGGGTATCTAAACCCTTGGCCAAGGCAGCAACTTCTGAAGCACTTGCCTTGCAGACAGACTGGGATCCTAACTTTGTTGACCTGAAAACATCAATGCTGGCAACTAGTCCTAAACCCCATGTTCACTAAGCCCAGATGACCTGTTGATTGACGATATTGAAAGAAAAATAAAAGTATAATACCCTACAGGGAAACAAATAAAATTTCCAGCACACGTTTAGTTGAGTTCACATGAATTTCCTAATTTTTCTCTTGTGTTCGGGGTGAACTACATTTCTACATTCTGGAAAATCTGGTGGAATTGCTGTCAGTATTTATTTATTTAATATATATATATATAGATGGAGTTTCACTCTGTTACCCAGGCTGTGGTGCAGTGGTGTGATCTCAGCTCACTGCAACCTCCACCTGCTGGGTTCAAGCGATTCTCCTGCCTCAGCCTCCCGAGTAGCTGGGATTACAGGCGCACACCACTATGCCTGGCTAATTTTTGTGTTTTTAGTAGAGATGGGGTTTCACGATTTTGCCCAGGCTGGTCTTGAACTCCTGACCTCAAGTGATCTGCCCACCTCAGCCTCCCAAAGTGTTGGGAGTACAGACATAAGCCACCACACCTGGCCATACTGTCAGTATTTTTTTTTTTTTTTTTTTTTTTTTTTTGAGACAGAGTCTCACTCTGTCACCTAGGCTGGAGTGCAGTGGCTCGATCTTGGCTCACTGCAAGTTCCGCTTCTCAGGTTCACGCCATTCTCCTGCCTCAGCCTCCTGAGTAGCTGGGACTACAGGTGCCTGCCACCATGTCCGGCTAATTTTTTGTATTTTTAGTAGAGACGGGGTTTCACCGTGTTGGCCAGGATGGTCTCGATCTCCTGACCTCATGATCTGCCTGCCTCAGCCTCCCAAAGTGTTGGGATTACAGGCGTGAGCCACTGCACCCGGCCACTATGCTGTCAGTCTTTAAAGGACTTTGTACTTGCAGTGGTTCATACAGACATAAAGGTGTTGAAGTTTTGGAGGTCGGGACTAGAAATAGTTGCAAGTATCTGCCTTCTAGCCACAAGATCAACATGGTTTTCATTTAGTGTTAATGCTTCTCTTTCTTTCTTTCTCTCTTTTTTTTTTAGATGAAGTCTCGCTCTGTTGTCCAGGCTGGAGTGCAGTGGCACGATCTTGGCTCACTGCAACCTCCGCTTCCAGGTTCAAGTGATCCTTCTGTCTCAGCCTCCCTGGTGGCTGGGATTATAGGCACACACCACCATGCCTGGCTAATGCTTCTATTTCTATAAAGTAAGGCTCCATGTCTTTATTTTTCCCACTTGAAACTATTCTCAAAATTTAGTAAAGCACTTTGTAATATGTAAGGAAATACATACAAATTCTAGATTTATATAATTTCTAGATGATCATACTTTCTAGTGAGAGGCTTGTGATGTCTGTTTGAAACCAGTGACTGGAAAACAAAAATGTTACAATGAAAAAGCCAGGTGCTTTGCTAAGGGTTGCTAAGATGAACTTGCAATCGCTTCCATTGCTCCTAAAGTGGAGGACAAGTCCCCTTCCCCCACATTTAGTTGTCAAACTCATCTGTGTCATTTAGATAGTTTTGAAGTTGCATAGATTTGATCCTAAACATTGTGCTGTGAAGTGCTTTATGTTTATGGCCTTTCTCTTTGCTCTCATTCCTTATCCAGTGAAGATGTGAGGCCGTGTAAGCTCTAAGAGAGCAGGGATCTTGTTTCTTGGTCACCGTGATATTTCAGCTGCTGACCCAGTGCTCAAAATATGGTAAGTGCTCAGTAAGAATGTGTTGAATGAATGATAGCTGGTGTTACAGACTAGAGAAAGTGTTCCTAAAAGAACTGCAATTTGTCTAAGACATTTCACAAATCATGGCAATCGGGGAATTTTATGGCATTCTGTGAATTCTGGTAACTAGCTTGAGGACTGTATAACTTATTCCAGGTAGGATTATTCACTATGCTTTTCTCAACCAGCTACACTTTACTAATTGTTTAAGAAGCAAGCATCACTAGCAGTCCAGAAAGGAAGCAAGCTGGAATCTAAGTAAAAGAAATTTACTACACATATTGAAAGCTGCAAATGGCTGAAGTGTCTGAAAAGGTGTCTGAATCTCTCCTAAAAAGAGTTTGCATTTTACTGTTGCAATTTACTTGGGACAACATAGATCTGGTATCCATAATAGGCCTGTGGGCAGAACAAAGCTTTGTCACATGGAAGTAGCTGTTGCTCAGCCAGGAATGATGAACATTTGCAAAAAGAGGAGTTGTGTTTGTAGCCATTGGAGAGAATCTTTGTAAGTAAACTCTTTCTCTCATAATTGACAGTTGCCATTTTATTGGTGGGGAAAAAATGCCCAATTTTACAAAATTGCAAAATCTCTTAGATCGTGTTCTGAAAATAAGTTGACATGAGCATTTTCCACATTCCCTGAGGTCTGGCCTGGATTCTGTAATTTACATGACATGATTAGGAGGGTTCTATGCCATTTTAGACTAATTATGTAAATTGGAGGGAATTCACCCCTTCATTATGAATAAGTATTTATCTTATGAGTACTAACTTCTAATAAATGTTTAGTTTGCTTCTTTTTGTGCTGCTGCGGATAGTTGCCTTACAGTGCTGTTAATTTGCCAATAAGCCTTAAACAGGATAACCAGGCATCTCTTTTTAGAAGACCAAAATTTAAAACCCAGATTAGAAGACTGATACAAAATGCATTTGGCCGGTAGTTAGTCATCTTATTTGGCAGATTTGTTTTTCTTGCTGCTCTCTTAAAAAATATGATGACAACTGTATAGTCTGTTAGATTTCTTTTGCCTTTAACTTTTCAAAATGTTTCCAGGCTTTACTACTTGGCAAAGACAATTTGGGACAGATTTCTTTATTTTCTCCTCTGGCCTAAAACGAAAAACCCCCACTTTCCAAACTGTTACCACCGAAGAGTTTATTAAATGGCTGAAAAAGACAGCTGGTCCCACCATCTGTTAAAATTTTTCAGGGGCCAAATAAAACAGGTTACACCTTTAGCCATGCCAAGTCTTGCAATACCCCCTTCCTCTCACAGCCTGGGGAGGGCTAATCTGAATTTCACGCTCTGATTTTGCTATTGCTAATGTCTGAGCTTCTTATGTGAGCTTCTCCACATTGCTTGTATTACCTCTCCTTTTCGGTTACAAAGCTATTCTCGCATTTCAACCAAACTCATTTGCAACCTATTACCTTCCACCTCTATAGTCTCTGTAGTTACACCCAGTAACTACGAGGAAACCCACATATACCTAGCTAATTTCTGACTTTTCAAGCAAAGGGGGGAGAACCAAAAGTACATTTCTGTTGTTTTGCAACCATTTTTCTATAAATGCTAATGGAGGTAATTCAGATTTTGGAACAGAGGCTTAGCTCACCACACACTGCAGGTGTGAAAGGGTTGAAACAAAAGAGATGCTAACCCTAATGGTATTTCTTGTCATTAACAATTCTTTGATGTTCACACTGGAGCCTCCCTTTTATCTTTTAGTTTTTCAGCCATCTTTGTTAACACACAGCTCAATTGAATCTTTTTTTTTTCACCTCCCTCTGGCCTTTAAAGACATCTGCAAAATGTTTATGCTAAGTTAGTTTCCACTGCATCTTTTAGTACCAAGGCAAAGTAAAATGAGATAAAACTTGTGAGGTTATTATTAAAACATCAGTAAGTTTCTATCATTAAGCTGAAGGGAAAGATCAATAAAAAAGGAGCACTTAATGTTACTTTAATAAGGATGCGTTTCCTGTAACAGGACTTGGGATTAACTTCAGTATCACTGAAGTGGGCTTTACAATAAGGAAGTTGCTGTGATCAGAAGAGTTTGACTTGCCCTTACTCAATTAAGCAGTTTGCAAATACTTTGAATGTGCTTGATCTATTATTTCCTGTTTTATTGAAAGCTTTCATGATACATATATTTAAATAATATTTTACTATAGCTTTTTCCCCCCTTGTGTCAGTCCCTGGCAGGCTGCCAAAGACTTTCTAAGGCAGGTTTGCCTGTCCTTCTGTCCATTTGGGATTAGGGGAAGGGAGAGGTGAAATGACAGGGAGTGGAACTGCAGCTTCAGAAAAGTTTGTTTAACTCACTTTGATGACAGCAAAATGTTGGGAACAGTCAACACTGCATAATATACCGCCCTGAGCTACTCAGCAGCAGGATCTGCAAATGTACAGTGGGTGCAAAGTGGAATCACATGTTTCACACCAAAATGGTCTGGCTGAGCTCACTATTCATGACTATATTTTGTGTTTTTTTGAAGTAGAAATGTTTATTAATAGTCTCTGGATTAATATACCTTTCCTTTTAACTGTGGGTGGGGGGTGCAAATTGTTTGCTTAACTAGTTAACACTTTAATCAGTAGGTGGTGATCTCTGGACAGTTGATTTGTTTCTGCTTGAAACTTGTTTTTTGGCAAGTATCAATTTGGAGCTAGTTAAAATCCTGAGTACAGCTGTAATAGACATGGTAACTTCCTCGGCCTTTATATATAGTCCAGCCCTAAATGTCAAATGCTAGGGAGAAGATAATCAGATAAAATACAAATTAATGTTAACAATGTAGCTATTTTATGATTTCTCCCTCATATTATTTAATAATTCTTAGTATTTATATGATGCTTTTCATCTTCAAAGCACTTTACAAATGTTAGCTAATTAACCAAGAGGTAATGAGGCCTGGATGATAATGCTGTAGTAAATTTTCCCTAGCTCAGATTATAAAGTAAAAATGAAGATGTATGTATTCATACATTTTTAAAAATAACATTAGGCGGTCTTAGAGACTTTGTGAATCAGAGGCTCAGGCAATTCATCTTCTATGTATAACTTATGTCTCTCTATAAGAAAATCTTGCGCAATTCAGATGCTCATGAACTGTAAGGATTTTCCCATCTAGCAGGTGGTTGGCAAACTTCTTTCATCTTAGCCCTGTCTGTTCTTACTCCTTGATATTTTTCACCTTGATCTCTCTCTTTCTGTCCAAGAACACAGAAAGGTCCAAAGGCAAGGACATTTACTGTTAGGAATTAGGGATAGACACCCATTTCATTTTTTCTCTGATTTTCCTATAGACAAAAGCTGGGTGAAATACATTCTAACGCACTTATGTTATTTTACATAGCTTTGCATAATGATGATAGGGCAGTTCAATTGCATTACTTGAGAATGAGTGTGTGTGTGCTGTGGATGGGTAGTCTGACTTTGTGGAAGGCCTAAATGATACAATTTTTAAAAAAGAAAAGGATATTTTATTCCATATAAAATATTATCATCTGATATAAAATGGACTCTTGTAAGAAAAATTAAGTCACTAATAAAAACATTGTAGTTCAAGAGTGCTGGCTCACACCTGAAATGCCAGCACTTCGGGAGGCCTAGGCAAGCAGATCACTTGAGCCCAGGAGTTTGAGACCAGCCTGGGCAACATGGCGAAACCCCATCTGTACTAAAAATGAAAAAAAATTAGACAGACGTGGTGGCATGTGCCTGTAATCCCAGCTACTCATGAGGCTGGGTAGGAGGATTACCTGAGCCCACGAGGTCGAGGCTGCAGTGAGCTGTGATCGCACTACCACACTCCAACCTGGGCGATAGAGTGAGACCCTGTTTCAAAAACAAAAAATCCACTATAGTTTATAGACTTACATTACAAACTAATAAACATATCGCTTTATGAGACTGAGTTGCTAGACTCAGCCTCTGAGGGAAGGTCTTATTTTCCTGAACACATACTTTGGAAAAGCTACTAAAGCTAATCAGACTCTTATTCATGACTAAGATCCTCACAATTCAGAGGGAATTCAATTTAAACCACTGAAAGTCTTATATATGCTGTCTAATTAGCTCTAACTTAACAAGGATTTATCCTATTTGCTAATGGCTTCCCCACTTCTTTCTGAGTTATGGTATTAAGCTATGTCTACATACCCTAAATTCAGGACTGACAAGTGATGGTTTCAGCCGGGATGTTTTGTCCTCCAGAGACTTGGGAACATGCTGATACTATTTAGAAAAAGCCAGTAATGCCTGGTGCATGGTAGGCCATAATGTCCAGATGCTAGATTGAATCTTTTTACTTTTCATTCTGATATTTTTGAAGTCCTGAACACCCAGTATCAGCCCATATGCCTTCACAATAATAATAAATCACCAAAGGAAGAATCAATTACTAAGATGTACTGAATCTGCTTCTATAAATGTCTTGGTGATATGGTCTTTTTATTAACCCAGTGCCTGCTGACAGATTGTACATAAAACGTACCGTTATTGTAGAACTAGTTTCACCCAAAGAAATAAATTACACACTTAACTTGCCATGACATTAACTTGATCAAGTGGAGCTTACAATATGCTGGTCATGGAGAAGTGTTTCTATTATAAATCATGATCTTGTACCCAGCCTTTTATCCTTACGGATACCCTTAGCTTAATGTGACATCATGATGGCCCCACTCTTCAGATGGGGTGGAGGAGGAGTCAGGAAGGAGGAGAAACAAAATAAAAACTCATCCATAATGTCAATGACACCCACCCTCTTCCCTGTTTGTAGGGGAAAGAAAGAAGGGAACCCCAGTGAAGAAAAGAAATGAATCCAATGCGTTCATGGTGTTAGTGAAATCTTTCAAATACTTCTTTGCTGATTTCACTGCTACTGAGATTATCAAATTCTTCAACTTCTGCACAGAGAGATATTATTCTTAAAGCATTCTTTGTGATCATCCTCACTATCTCTGT